GAACATGACTGTTCCAAGTCAGTGTGTGTGCTTGCTGGGAAGAGGGTGTCCACTTTGGAGCAGAGATATGACTGATGCCCCCCAATCTGCATTTCCTATTTCGGTTAAAGAAGCCAGGAAGATGAATCTGGCCATTTCCTAAGTTTGAAGAATACAAAACAGAAAGAAGTTCCTTCTTCTTGTCCCTGAACCCTCAGGAACTCACCCTCTGCATCGTAAAGGGGCTTTTGGCAAAAGGGCCAGTGCCCTTATTGCCATGCCCACCGCCCAGGCTGATTTTAAAGAGGCCTATGAGTAGGTTCCTGGGGAGCTTAATACCTACCCAGGAACGGAGCAGATAACTGTACAAAGGTAGGGCAAAGCTCTGGTTTAGGACAACATCCCAAGTGAAAATGATGTTTTGGTTATTTCCAAGAGCCACATTATCTTAATGCCCCTAGAGCTTCCTCCTACTACATCTCTACCCCATGTCCAAAAACTATCTGTTGCTGGCTTTGCTCTGCTCCTCACCACCCCAGCCCACAAACAGCCGGCCAGTGTTTGCCAACCCTCAGCATCCCTATCTCCACACCTTCTCTCAACCCGCACGTTTCCACCCCTTGGAAGCGTTCCTGCAGCAAAGCAGAGGGCACAGGGCCGCCTGTCCACTTACCCCTGGTCAAGTGATTTATTCAGATCTGCGTCGTCTGGTATCCCTGAGCCAGGGCTTTCAGTGCAGCCACCTTACAGGACTTGTCACCCGCGGAGTGCAAACAGCCGCCTGGGACAGCGCTGGGCCTCCAAGCTGCTGGGCGGTAGGATGCTGAGCACAGCGAAAGGGGAGGAGTGCTGTGAGGGAGGCAAGTGCTGGCTCCTACGTTGGTTTCTCTCTTTGCTCCTCAATTATCTTCAAACTTCCCTTTTGTTGGCCGGCCCTTCTCACCTTTTGCCTTCATCAGAGCCCTGAAACTCTTTGCTCTACCTCTCACTAGCTTCTCCTGGCTCTGAGACAACTCAGGCCCCTTCAAATGCCCGGCTCCCTTCAGGCAATCAACCACACAATACCAGGAAAAGCAGAAACTGACACCGGGAAATTGACAGGGATAGCGGACACTGGGAGGGAGGGAGAGAGAGAGAGAGAGAGAGAGAGAGAGAGAGAGAAGGACCGCATTCACACTCTTCACACTCTTACATACACAAATGCACACTCAAGCCCCAGCTACTAGGTAGCAGCTGTTGGGAGCCCCAGCCGCCCCTCAAAACCGTTTCAGAGTAGGTTTCTGTCCGCTTTTGCGGCTGCTTCAGGAAAATGCTATATACAGGGAAGGGGAGAGAAAAGCAGAGAGGGGAGGGGAAATCAAGGAGGCACGCTCCCTTTTTCCTCCCCACCCCTAGCTCCAAAAATGTCCAACCCTGAGCTCTTCCCTTTTCCCTCTATATGCTTCTTGCTTATCTCAGCTCCTGTTCTTTCTTCCTCGCTTTGGGTGGCTGTGAGCTGCGGAGAACCCGTCGCAGTTTGTGTGTGTGTGTGTGTGTGTGTGTGTGTGTCTGTGTGTGTACGTGTGTGAGAGAGAGGAGGGAGGGGGAGACTGCGAGGCTGGTGAAAGCACCTCTCACCTCCCCCCATCCTAAGCTGGTGCCTCACAGCCCGCTCTCAGCAGGG